TGTGGATCCCAAGGTGTAAGTGTTGAACCATTGGCCTTCATTGCTCTTGTGATTGCTTCCTTCCTCAACCTATCAAGCTCTTCATTGCTCTTTTACTATATGTGGTTTCGATTGCCATGTGTCCATATTTATTATAAAATTTTCGATTGCCATGTGTCATCTCTATATTCTAAATCCCTCCATGAAACCACAACCTCAACTCACAACAATCATCCATATCCTCTCTAGCTTCAACTCACAGCTTCTATCCGTTGGGGGATATCAGGGCTGACACTAGCCTGGCGTCAGCATTGACATCACCAGACCTCAGGCAGGAGAACGGGCTGATTTTGTCTTGGGCCTTGCCCAGGTTGGTGCCCCCCACGTCTTGCCTAGATTGCATTTGTGCGCTAGAAGTGCCTTTGCGGGCCCTCTTGTCCCGGGCTGAAATCGTGATTTGGAAATGCTTTTAGATGCTCTAATTTTATAATGTCATGATGGCAAGTTATGCATGTGAAGCTCTCGAGGTACACATACTCCCGCGTCCACTTAAAATCATAACGACAATACATACTCCTTGATCACACAGGGATGTGATTATTATATAAGATGTAACACAAACGTTACTCAATAAAAACACACTTGTTACCCAAAAAAAAAAAAGACTCATTTATGTTATGCTTTTTTAGGATCATTTATGCTCTGTTGGTTGGGAAACTAAGGTATATATTTTAAGAGCATCTCCAAGAGAGATGTTAAATTCAACGTGACACTTTCAACATGTAAAATAGATAGCTGACACTCCCTCCAACGGAAATGTTGAATCCTACATGGAATAAATTTCTTTCTCCTGTTGTTATTTTTGGCTATTTGACTTTGCGATGTTATTTCATTATTTTGTTATTTATTTTTGGCTTAATTATGTACATGTCCCCTGTGCTTTCAAACTTATCTCAGATTACCACATGTGTTTGCAAACGGCTCAAAATACCTCACAACCTTTTAAAAACCATCTCATGTTACCCATTCCGTCAATTTTTTTGACGTTCCGTTATGAATGTTACTGTTCATCCCCCCCCTCCCAAAAAAAAATTTGGCTGGTTTTTACCCAAATCGCTCGTTTGGGCGATTCCGAGCTCCATTTGCTTCGATCAAGGTATGGTTTTTCAACCTCTCGAGCTATTCTTGCTGCTAGTTGTGTTGGTTAGGAGAAATTTCTGAGTTTGGAGGGTAAATAAGCGATGAACAATAACAAAGGGGAGGGGCTGCTGTTCATGATTTTTTTTAATTTTTTTTTTGGGTGGGGGATGGGGGATAAACAGTAACGTTCGTAACGAAACGTCAAAAAAACTGACGGAAGGGGTAACGTGAGACGGTTTTTAAAAGGTTGGGGGAGTACTTTGAGACGTTTGCAAACACAGGTGGTAATCTGAGATAAGTTTGAAAGCACAGGGGGCATGTACATAATTAAGCCTTTATTTTTAATTAATATGCTTAAAAAGTAATAAACCAATAACCACTATATAATAAAATAATATTTTAATTTGACATATTGAGTCGAATATGTCCAATTGCAACATAAGCTATGAAATTCAAATTTAATGTTTGATATTTGACATCTAGATGCTCTAAAAACTAAAATTAATATAAAACTTTAAAAATAAATGGGCCTGAAGAGTGAGCTGGGCGAAAATAGCTTTGCATCAGTCTAGCCTGTTCTTCATGGGCTACGACCCACAATTTTTTTCTATGTTCCAGCACAAAATGTGCCTCCGCAGTTGCTCAACTAACACACCATAATCATCGCTCTCAACGTTGAAGCGTCTTCTCTCTCTCTCTCTCTCACTCTCTCTCTCTCACACACACACACGCATTTTCATTTAGCTGTGAGTTCTCCAACTTCATCTGAGTATTTCATTCTCAATCGATCATGAAATTGGTACTTAGGTGACAAATGGAGATTTAATTACACAACCAAGACAAAACAACTCAGCAATCTTCACACACTTTAAACCTTGACCAAATACACGTATGACTAGTCAACTGCTAGTCATGAACAATCACAATCAAGAGAACACACAGATCATGCCACAATGTACCTGCAACC